ATGCGATAAGTTTTAATCAAACAAGGAATGACAGGACAATTTAGCACATGTGCAACAATTCATAGCAGTGCCTATCCATACCCCTCATGCAAATAGGGAGGGGTCTTGTTTGCTTAGCATCAGTAAGTTGTGTCCACCGTCCAAGAATGTGGACAGTAAATTATCACATTCCTAGCTTACATGACATCACCTTATTGTGGAATATGCCAAGTCACCACAGAAAATTAACAGGAGAGAGTAGAGCTGCTCCGTACCCGTAGAAGCACTGGCTGTTGGCTTTGGTGAGCTACTTGGTCATCTCGTGCCGTATGTAGTAGTTCACAAGTAGATATCTATACATCTTAATAAGGGTTCTGCCCACGCCGGTCGGCGGTGGTCTGGCCCGACCACCAGTATTTGCCTTGCGTCCACTGTTCCATTTCTCTAACCACAAGCTAGGCACGTGGAACGCGCATGCTCAGTTGTGAACGTACTCGCTCATGTCATGTGGAGAGTCCGTATATCAGACCAGAGCGCAACAGATGTGTATCGAAAAATACAGCAAGAGTGAAATACCTGTTTCGAAGCGCTTGAGAACCGATCAGTGTCAAAATGCTCTCGAAGCCCAGGAGTCAGGAAGCGATCCTGAGCCCGAGAGCGAACTAGAACCCGAATCTAGCAGCGTACGGACTTCATCGACAACTGAAAGTTCCTCTCGGCGTGGCCGAGCCAAGCAAAAACAAACTTGTAACTTCAACAAGATTGGCTTAGTAGGCACGGGTGCTCAAGTATATGTACAGAGAAAGGGAATGTTTTGCACTTTGTGCCAGAAGTACGACATGATTCCCTTCACACACGGCACATGGAACAAAACCCCCTGCACCAGACCAAGAGTACAAAGTATCATTTCCCATGAGCGTACAGTACATGTTTGTAAACAATAACAAATAGCCTCAGGCACTTTCCTTTAAATTTACTTCTTCACTCCTCAAACTTTCTAATGGTAGCACGCATAGAGGTGAAACTTGGTACAAATGGGTATTACATCATTTCCATGCAACTGAACAACAATAAATAGCCTCAGGCACTTCTCATTGTACTTGCTAACGGTAGCACACATTGAGATGAAGCTTGATACGCATGCATATTACATCATTTCCATGACAACTAAATATTTTTTTAACAACAACAAATAGCCTCAGGCACTTTCCTTATACGTAGTAGTATATAAAAATGAGTGGAGGCAAGTAAATTAAATACCCTGCAATTTAAAGAAAGGCATTTTGTTTCCATGACGAACACAACAACAAATAGCCTCAGGCACTTTACTTTAAAATTACTTCTTCACTCCTCAAACTTGCAGGCTTGCCCCCTTCCACAGAAATAATACGTTGTAGCATACATAAAAGTGAGTGGAGACAAGTAAATTGAAAATGCTGCGAATTTAAAAAAAGAGGCATATAGGGATGGTATAAAAAGAAAGGGACACAAGATAGGGATGGGGTACATGAAGCATAGTTAATGAACAGATTTGAGCATCTGAAACCCCGATCCCATCATACAATATCCCTATATTGTTGCCTAGGTGAAGTTTTAAAACATTCAACATTACAATGGTCAGGACTTGCAGCTTGAAAAGAAAAAAAAACTCATGCTACTGAGTAACCAACACCGTTACCATAACCATGTGAAGTCATGCTAACTGAGTAACCGAGTGGCACACCAGGCAACGATTGTGTGACGGGGTTGGGGGAGTCAGCGTGCTCATATCTGTTCGCTTCATATACCCTATATGCCTCTTTTTTTAATTCACAGGATTTTCAATTTACTTGTGTATGTTGTATATACTACACATGTATAATATTGTGAGTAGGTTTGTGGCTTCATAAACAAATGCAACAACCACTCAAACCATCCTGGGCAGAACCCTACTAGAAACGCACTAGCTACGACATGCAACGACCACCCACAATTAAATGCGTCGAGACTGGTCTCGCGGAGCCAACCCCAACCCCTTTTTATCGCGAATCTAGCCCCTCTCTGGCTGGCTCCTATTATTTATTTTTCACACCTCATACCAAATAGCTACGTCTCCCTCACCGTCTTTTGAGAGGATTTTCTGCTTTTTCCTTGGCTTATGTTTTTCCTGCCCAGAGGAGAGGGCACGCGCTTAGCCCGGTCCATCATCAGCAGCAACTAGGCCTGAGCTAATTATTCACGAATAAAGGTAAACTAAGGCGTACACGTACACGGACGGTGAGCTGTCCATCACTGAGCATGCGCGTAGAGCTTCGCAAAAGAACTTTGACCTGTATCGCGTGTTTAACAGATGGCCTAAAGCGGGAGCCCTGAATCTGAACCGTTGTCAATCGGTTCTCTCAGTTGTGATCAAGATCTATGTTCATTGTCCACCTTTTTCTCACAACATGGCTTATCATCAATATCACCCATGTCACATGTGCGTTAGTTTTGTCCGTTGTCCACCTTTTTGTGCATTTTGATGGTTTCTTTATTTGATAATCACTTGAGTAATAGGCCAGGCTAATTTGAATAACAGGAGAGTGTAGGATGAATAAAAATAATAGGCAAGAATGAGTGAATATTAGCTCAGGCCTAGCCAGCAACTTGTCGAGTCTGACGTTACCACACCCTCTCGCAACAATAGAGGGTCTGTCTGTCTTCATCCATCGGTTATCTCCAATCAGATTGCAGAAACAGCCAATTAGCCTAGCTTATCTACGTGACGTCATATGTATGGTGGAATGTGCAAAGTTGTCAGCTCGCGCGTGTATAGTGAGCTGAGCTTCCCTGCACCGTGGGAGACTGGCTGTTAGCTTCGGTAAGCTTCTTGATCATCACTCCCTCCGGTAGTTGGCCGTGAAATTAACGCGTAGCTTTGTAGACGGATGCGAATGGAAAATGATGACGTCATTGCATTCCACATCGTTCGAGAGGGTGTTGCTCGCCAGACTATCCTTCACCCGCACCCTGGGGGCACTGGCACACACCTATACGCGAGCGCCCATGCGTGGAAACCATGCTTGTAAGCTTGGTACCCCGCCTCAAGCCCCCTTCACCCATCGGTTCTTTCTCCAACTCCATTGAATTTGGTGTCTGACCCCACTTCTTTCTGCACTTAAAAGAAACCTCAGTGGTACGGCCTCTATCTAGGTGCCTTCGCCATGCCGACAATATCACACCCACCATCCCACACTAGTGCCAGCAAACCTCGAGGATGTCAGCAAACAGGCTTAAGTATCCACTGTGGATACCTCACCCAATCCAGAGGTCTAAAGCTGTCCCGAAAAGTGTGCTGTCTTTTCTTTGGTCACACTTCTACACACGCAAATTCAGCATCAGTTGCTAATATACTTGTGATAGTGGTGGGATTCACATCCAACAAGACATCAATCATGAAAAAGATCAACAAAGAACGCAGAGCATTCTTCTTTCAACTGGGAGCTAAGCTGCTAACCCTATATCTTCTGCAGTCAGATCAAATGCTGCATCTTTTTCCTGTCCTCTGATCATGGGTTCTAAATCCACACTCCTATCGAAGCTTGAATCCTTTCAAGCAGAACGTGGGTAAACGGCTAAACACACCTAAAACACCATCCCTCTTGCCCTCTGACACCATCTCCAGGAGTATTGTAAAGCATGTAAAATTCCTAAGATGAACTGGACTCAAATTTTCACCACAAGGTTCTTTCCAGTCAGAACAATGTGCCATAGAACACATCTTATGAGCTCATTTCATCCTAACCTGCCTACTGGATGATTTACTCTCACCTTCCTCGTTGATCTCCATCAGGATGACCCTGATCGTCTTCCTTCGCAACACACTTCCCCTTTCTAACCCCTATTAATACTTAATTGTGTATTTTTCCTCCCTCTCTTGGGGGTGGGACTTTGACTTTGACATGATGCGGGATGCCAGTCCAACATTTAACAGCTCTGGGCTTGCGTCCCAATAAGTCTTAGTGGGATAGGCCACCCCTGACCATACTACCAATTTGAGGTTCATGAGCAAGCTCCTCCGTACAGGCTCTTCCAGCTGTTATGAGGGGTTACCCCCTCTTGAGGCGTCTGGCTTAATTTTTAGCTGAAATGTATCAACATGTTCGCACATACGGATCAAGTACTGCAGCTGCAGGAGGAAGGGGCTCTAGCTAGTGTTCAGGCAGGGCAACAACACACTACTCCTATACATCTGACAATGTCTTCAGCCGTGCTATCTGTTGAACATCTACAGCCACGTAATATTGTAAAATCCAAAATTCCAGGCTGTTAATGTTGTAGATACTCAGGGTGAGAGCCAATGCAGTAAGTTAAGTGAAATAATTATATCATCGTAAAATCGCAAGTGGCAACATATTGTTTTTCTAACCCATGAACCAGCTCACCATATCATCCCTCCCGGCGTGACACGAAAGAGTCTAGTCAGTGAGGGCAGATAATAACAATAAAGCAAGAAACTCTAGCTGACAGATAAAACATACGTGCATGTTATGTCTAGACACACTTGCCAGTCAATTAAGTGACAACAAGAAACAGACGCTGCAATGAACAGTTGAGCACAATAGTAAGTTGTCATAATCAGCACTTGTGCATAAAGAAATTTCACTCCCCATTTGGTTTACACTCAGCATCATATCCGACAAGTAAAATAGTGCAGCACCAGTAGCTCCTGCAATGGTAGGGTATGTGGCAGACCGATATGCTTGTATCAAAGCAGTGCACAGCATCGTTGATATCAGAACACAGTAGAGAGCAGCAAGGACAGCCAAGAGAGGCTTCATATGACTAACAATTGATACGTATACAGTACATGATATTGATATCACTATAATTCCAATAATCATCTCAATGTTGCTAGCTCCTTGGAAAGTGCCAATTCACCTCCAAACATTGAAACATAGATGCCTTGGGCAATCGCAAATGAAACAACGCCAAGAAGAAAAGTGTTCGAGAAAACAAGATAAGCATCTCCAAACACAGAAAAAAAGCAAACCCCAAAAAAGCTGGTATAATTTATTAGTAGAGCCAGGTGCAGACGGTGAAGTAGAAGCACTAGAAACTATTAAGTTCTTCGTAACAGCCAACATCAACATTAGCAGTGGAGAGCACTTCAAGGTAAGTTTTACGATCTTTGACTTTGTCTTGTAGTCCAGGTAGACAAAAATAATACACAATGCTCCATAACACGGAATGAACCACTGCCAATGCTCCATGATTCTGGAAAAGAAAAAGAGAACATATGTACCTAGCAAAAAAACCAGCCATAGTCATTCTGCCAACAAAGTATATATAGAGATTTAAAGTGTATATTAGCAAAAACTCTTAATCCTGACCCAATAATCCGGTGTGTTTCTTCTCGTGCTCTTCTCTGACGTCAGGCTAAACAACTGCAGCGGTTCCGTAGACCTTTGCATGCTTATACCGAATTTCAAGTTGCGGTCTCATCAGCAGAGACAGGGCGCACAGGGGAGATCCAATCGCAACAAACACAAAAAGGGTCCAGTATTACTAAACACAGGGTATTTTGTGCCCCTCTCTGAGCGCCTCGAAACCGTAGCATAAGAATGTAGTATTGCTTTGGTGATCCAGGTTCCACAGCAGAGTTACATATGCGTGATAGTATTAGGACAAAATGTGTATAACCTCAAGTCTGCAGAAAGCAGATGAAATAAAGGCTGGTGTGCGAACTGTCTACGAAAGGAGAGAATCCCTCTTCCAACTGATCAAGACCAGTATGAGCGTAAATCCTGGGAACCAGTGATGAATGATACATTCATCACACTTAGCAGATGGTTGAGGGAAAATCGACGTTTTCAATCAGGTAAGAGGCAACTGGTTTCACTGGAAGAGAACTGGGAGCAGTCTTACTTTTATCAGACTAATTCTCCCCCAAGGGCATGGGACAACATCACATATGGATCACATCCTGTGCAATACAGCAACCTAATTATACCAATTCTGTAACTCAGACATTAAAAAAGCTCTCTTTTTCTTACATACAAAAGCAATTATACAGAACCAACAAGATGGCCTTGTATTGGCATCAGAAGAGAGACATAGTTCTGAAAAAGTTGGGGCACGATCATTATTTTCTAAAGAGCATTTTGCTGTAGAGCACCTTCATTGCGCTTATACTTGTGCACTTGTAAATCTAAAATGTTGTTGGTGAAGCTTCTCTATACCGTTGCAACGGCAAATAGGCTGCATGTGAACACTCATTAGAATTCTCTGTCTCATCCATAAATAAAATCTGGAAGAAGGTTCCTGCACAACGCTAACATTTCGGCAATGTGAGTAAGTAGCATAATAATGTTGTGAACAGAGGTGAAATGGCCAGCAAGCATTAGCTCCTCACTGACACCCACATTGGCTCTCTCACATAAAATATCCTCATAGGTATTGCTTAATGTCTATGCTCATATGTGCGTTAGTGTGTCCGTCTGTTGCCACGTTTTCTGACACCACACGCAACGAGACTTACAAGGCGCACCAGTGAGCAGTTGAGGTATGACTGGTCCTCCATAACACGAGCCAAACAGCGATTTCATGTGACACGGTTAGCTGTCTCGTTGTAGTTGCTTCCTATGTACGCACAAGCGAGGCTGCCTGGCTCGTGTCATGGGCCTCACCGTCTTGTGTACGCTATCGAAGCTCAAATGGAAAAACGTGGCTACCCTGATGTCACTCACATGCTAAGATATATCCGGCTCTCCTTCTGCTTTTAAGGGGGTTCAAAGATCATATGTTAAAAATTGTCCTCGGAGAGGGAGAGCCTGGGAACGAGGCTAGCTAGTGCTGCCACCATTGTTCCATAATCGGTGGGTGTGGTTCCTGTATAGGGAAACACGGATGGGTGTGTGTTGCCAATCCTTTTTCTGATGGGACACAATCCAGACATGTTTTTACAATGACTATTGTTGTAAAAATAAAGTTATAGTGTCAAAACGGAGTGAACTCGATTATACCTTGACCGCATCATGAGGTTAGCATACCATGGAGACATTAGAGAGTCGGTAGACTCTCTACATAGGGATGACACGGGTGAAATCTCACGTGATCCGCGTACAAAACGACTAAAACTCGGTGAGAATCACTCCCTAGGCCTTCAAAACATACTAGCAATAGTCTACGGGCCCATATCTACCTATACATGTCCCCCAAGACCTCATACGCACCTTCAGTCGTCCACGCGAGAAATTCGCTCATACGCGATTTCACGATTTTCGTGTCATCATCATATTTTTCATCTTCTTCTTCTTCTTCAGACCCGCTAGCTCCTTATGGAAGCACTTGAAGCGTTGATTTTTTCATGGAACGTCTCCGAATTTGCCGGAGGTGTGCACGCATATCAAGCGATCGCTTGTTTCTTGCCGCAAGTCATTACGGTAGATCGTTGAACTCTTCCTCGGTAGTCACTGAACAACGCCATTTGCTGCTAACTCAGCATCAGTGAGCCGCATGCGCCGAGGAGGGCGTTTCCAATGCGGTGCGCGCGCATTTTCTCTCGTCCACGAACGAGACTAAGCCAGGACTGGATGCCTTCAGAGAAAATTACTCTCATCCTCCAGTTGCCTTCTGTAAGTCAGTGTACACATTTGTAAGTGGCTAGCTTACGTTTTGCTGTTGATTTGCACGGGGAGCAACTTGGCAATCTGCGCCGTGTTACGCGTGCCTTGCCAGGGCCTTCATTGTTTTTTCCGTAAGCTATCATTGTAGTCTGATTTCTGAAGCCTGCCCAATGAAACCACCACCATATGTGCCACAACCTAATCGCGTCCTTGTTGGAGACACTACGCATACACCCTGCTTCAGGTAAGAGCAGTTCTGCTTCAACAGTTATCTCTACAACATACCCATGAACATCAGAGTGACTGAAAATGCAGTGCTGTCAGAGCCATTAAAAAATAGTGGAAACAAGTGGAAAAATCATTTCTTCAAAATGAAGGGGGATATAGGGATGGCTTGAAGCACAAAAAAGGAAGAAACAAGGGGTCATTACACACCAAATATGCACAAAACCACATGACACCATCCCTATATCTTTGTTTTATTGTTCATAAGCAAAGTTTAGTACGAGACAAAGATATAGGGATGGTGTCATGTGGCTTTGTGCATATTTTGGTGTGTAATGACCCCTTGTTTCTTCCTTTTTGGTGCTTCAAGCCATCCCTATATATATCCCCCTTCATTTTGAAGAAATGATTTTTCCACTAGTCAGAAGTTAAAACAGAAGGTGAATTTCAAGTCTGCGATGCCTTTAAAATGCTAGTCTAGTTTGCCCAGTCAGATTCTATAGTGTAGCCAGCCCATCAATCGGAGGTTTATGACCTAGCTGCAAGGCTTATAATGCGTGTGTGCCCTGGGATTATTGCACTTCGTGCTTTTCATGTGAAAGTAAAAAACGCTCAAGCGACATAGTTAATGAGAACTGGACTCTGAGACAGAGCGGAAAAGACCTTCATTGCCCCTTAAGTAGGGTATCCTTTGTGAGACGAATGAACACTCGAGAAGTGAGATGAAGAGTAACAGACACACACAGACAGACCCAATGAAAAGCACTTCAGTGCAAAATCCTCGGCGAACTGCGCATGCGCGGTACTGCTAATTGATGGGCTGGCTATTTGTGTGGTGGTCTCCCGCCAGTATAGCTCGCGGAGAGTCTGACACGGGCTAGTAGCTACAGTAGTAGCTAGCATGCGGGAGTCGATACACGCCCTCGTTGTTACTTCTTGTGCCTTCAAGATACACAGCATGCGTGCCATGGTCGAATTAGCATATAACCGGATGCGCATTTTCTGCAGCGAAAACGGCGAACTACGCATTAGCCGTACAATGCTGGAAGCGCTCTAGCTTGCAACGGAGCATTTTCCGAGAAAACAACCGTTTCAAATTTCTGACCCTTCATTGCCCGTTAAGTTAGGTCGTATCGTTTGTGAGACGAACGAACATTCGAGAAGTGAGATGTACAGACAACAGACACACAGACCCAATTACACTACCCTCGCTGCGCGTGCGTGCCGAGGGTTAATAAAGCCATGAAATTATGTAGGAATGTACATATCCATAACCACATGTGCAACGTCATACTTTTTTGTTGTAAACAATGTTGTTTACTGTAACAACAACAAAGTGCCCCATGCAAGCATTATAATTGGCAGTACACATTATGATGGCATACCACATGTGTCAGTGTAACTCACAATTGGTAAGAGCTACATGTAACTCTATCGGGTGATTGGTTTTTAAGACAATGTACACAGCAAAATGCTACCAGTCACTAGTGTAGGCAGCAATTTAATGTGTCGAGAACTTCCATCGTGAACGAAAGTTTGTACAAGTAAACTAATAATCCTGTGAATTTGCATTCTTTCACCCTCCCCCGCATATTTTGCCTCGCGCCTGCCAGCCATGCGTAAACAGTCCAACTGAGGCGCTCGTGCGGCGCTCTACTGACTGACTTCCTACGATGTGGGCGCACGACGGAAGCTAGACTACCTACGAATGACGGAAGTTACACTTCACTTTTGGTGACTAATTGACATTCCTAAGCGTGACTAATTGACGACGACGTACGCATATCGCGAGAATACAACCCGGAGTAGTTGCCTCATGCTAACGCGCTCGGCAACTACCTCAGTCCCTTTACTTGGACTCTATAACGGTGGTGGTTACTAGTAGCATGACTTTTTTGTATAATAAGTTCTGAGTATTGTAATGGTGAATGTTTACTACTTCACCTAGGCAACAATATAGGGATTGTGTGATGGGGTTGGGGTGTCAGCTTGCTCAAATCTGTTCATTAACCATGCTCCATGTAAGGTAAATGGGTGGTACTCCGGATGCGGAGGTAACTCCGGACATGTGGGGGTTGCACCAGCCTCGAAATTATGCGCTGCGAAAAAAACGCGAGGAAGATTTGTTAGCACTTTGGCAGGTAGTAATCAAGTGAAATATATCCGAATCTTTCTCTTGTTTCTGAATAGTGAGTTATGTCCAGGTATTACCCTGTGTCCGAAGTTACCCCAATTTACCTTCATTACATTACCTTATTACATTACACAATAGTAAATATGAAAAAGTCATACTACAACCATGATTCATGTATCCCAATCCTACTTGTCTCCCTTTCTTTTTATACATCCCTATAATAAAATTCGCAGGATTTTAGTTACTCCAGTGACATGCAGCGCTATTGCTCAATGCAGAGAACGGCATGAAATGACTCCAAGCTTCACCGCTCGAGATCTAAACAAAACTAAGAGACAGGTCAGCAGGAAAACGCATAGATACCTCCCTGGGATATCCCCTTCTGAAGCTTGAAAATATGTTCTACTGCATATACAGCTACTGCCAAAGGACAGTGCGCATCTGGATTTTCACGAAACCAACCCACACAACCATACACCGCGATAAACGACGTGCCGTGTTTCGCTCACACTGGTCCCGCAACCAAGCCTCCTGCGCAGGCGCCTCCAGATCGAGAACCCAATGGTCTAAACCCCAATGCTTTGCTCAAAGCCAGCCTCTCAGCTACGAGACCACAACCTCTATTAGCAA